TGTGTTAATGTTCAGAGTTCGAACCCTGTACAAGTATAAAGATCTTCTATTTATAGTATCTTTTTGGGCCCGTACATCGAGGTATATGATCGCTTTTACGTAAAGTAGCTTTTGGATGGGCGGCCATGTGAGCGGGACCTATTTAAATGATAGGATTTCTTGTGGTGTTTGAACGTGTCGTGTGTGGGCCTTGTCAGCTGCTTCGGGTGTAGTGACTTCGGCTTGCGGTGACTTCGATTTTTAGCGGGCAGGTCGGTCGTCCTCAGGTCGAGCTGAAGTACGGTTAAAATTTAAACCGGGGTGAGAAGTGTGGCTAGCACCATTAATGACTTGCTTAATACGTGGTTTTACACGAATAATACGGATTAGCAGGTCAGATGATGACAATATCAAAGATAAATAAACGTCAAATAAACATCGAAATCTTTCAAAATATATATAAACCAAAATATGTGAAAAATTCTCCCAAAACTAAGTCATCTCGCCTAATGTGCAACTAATAGTGAAAATTTGATATCCAGATAAAATATACTTACCTTTTGTACGTAGTTACTAAAAATATAATAAAATATAATATAATAACTTTTTTTTCATACAATTTTAATTATAAGATGGAACAAGGCTAAGAAACATATCAAAATATATAATATAATCTTTTTAATTAATTGTAAACAAAGTATTATTAAAAATGAAATTAAGTGAAGTTTAATTATGATAACTATGTATTATTAAGATCTTAATGGTACTCAAATTGTGTAGTATAAGATTAAAGTTAGATATAAATCTATGAACATGATATATCTAATATTATAATTTGGTTTCGGTAAGGTGAGATTGTTCAGTCCGGTCTAGATTATTAATATTTGTGAAATCTCTAAAATCGTACTAATTATTTTTTTCGATTCGATTGGGTTAAAAAAAAAATAAAATGGTTAAGTATTAATTTTCAGTTTAGTTTGAAATGGTTCAAATTTCAAAATTGATTTTCTAAATGATTCAAAATTCTTTGACTCACGTGACGTAAAGATCAACAAACAGTAGACTTTTTTGACAACTGTAAGGAGCAACGAGTGATATTTATATTTTCATGGTGCAAAATGCAAATGAATTGAAATGTGCAGAAATGCAAATGCAGGCAGCAGGAATCCTAAATTGAGCCCTAAAATGTCGATCACCCTCGCCTGATCATCCTCTTCGCCGGCCAACGCGTCTGCTGCTGTGATCTGAGGGACAAGGGTGGTCGTATGGAATAAGGAGACCCGGCGGCGAAGGGCTCTCATTCATAAGAGGGGGTCGACAAATCGCCCATTGATCCGCGTCAGACCCGCCGGAAAGTTCGAGCTTCCGACCGCCGTCGAATTTGTCGCAAACGGCAGTGATCGATCACTCCTTTCCTTGACAATTCTCTCCGGGTCAGTGGAGCGCGGCTGAGCTCGATCTTCCCTTACTACTGATTATTTCTGCCGGTGATTTGACTTTCCCCAAATTTCGTTCAGTTTCAGCTTTTGGTTTCTAATGGCCAGTTCACAGCGATCGTCTGCGAGTTACTCCTCCTCCACCGTTACTTCTTCGACTCCTCCTAAGCTAGATACCAAATTTGGTGCTCCTCTTCTTTCTCCTCCGCCGTCATCTTCACCGTCAATACCAAGGTTCCCTCCTCCGCCGGTAATACAGCCTAATCAGATCCCCTCTCCGTCGATAAAGACTCCCAATTTACCATCCCCCGCAAATGGGATACGAGCCGGGAGCCCCCTGCCGCACATGAGCACGCCCCCTGGCCCACCGGTGTTTTCGTCTCCTCTGCAACCAGCTGCCGTCCCGTTTAGAACTTCTCCTGCAACTCCTCAGCCCGTCGCGTATTCCTCTGGTTCTTCACTACCCACATCCTCACCACCTCCACACTTTTCTAATGGGTCGGTTGACTTTCAGCATCAATCATCCGATGTTACAGAGGAACTGGACAATTCTGCTGAGTATCCAAATGTTTTGTTCTCAGCTCACAAGGTATATTGTTACTCTATTCTGCTCGTCTTATTTTGCCCCAATTCGTCCCTGTTAATTGAAAAGGTAACGGATAGTAGTCCCATGACAAGATTGGTGAATGCACTGTATGGAGTTTTACTTTGGGAAAACGTTTGATCAACTGGAGTAATTGAAACACTATGTGAGATCATTATTTTATGTGGATTTTTTTCTAATCCTCTTTGAAGGAATGTTGTTACAGATTTTTGGCTTCTTATCATATTTCTGATTCGACTCGTATCTTTGAATCTGAGATCAACTTTATATTGTAGTTGTATGTTGATGGTTTGCATTTTCTATTATTTGTTTGATCTATCAGGTTCTGAAACAAAAGAAACTGGCTAATGTGCCCAGTTTAGGGTTTGGTGCATTAGTTTCTCCTGGCAGGGATGTGTCACTAGGTCCTCAGATAATCCAGCGTGATCCACATCGCTGCCAAAACTGTGGAGCTTATGCCAATCTTTACTGCAATATCTTACTTGGTTCAGGCCAATGGCAATGTGTAATATGTAGGAACTTGAATGGAAGTGAAGGGGAATACATTGCTCCAAGCAAAGAAGAGCTCAGAAATCTGCCTGAACTATCATCTCCTCTGGTTGATTATGTCCGGACTAGCAACAAAAGACCTGGTTTTGTTCCTTTATCTGAATCCAGAATATCAGCCCCAGTTGTTCTGGTAATTGATGAGTGTTTAGACGAACAACACCTGCAGCATCTGCAGAGCTCTTTGCATGCATTTGTGGATTCCTTGCCCCAAACAACTAGAGTTGGAATTGTGCTTTATGGTCGCACGGTTTCAGTATATGATTTCTCTGAAGAATCTATGGCATCTGCAGATGTGCTTCCTGGTGACAAATCACCTAGTGAAGAGGCATTAAGGGTATTACTATATGGAAGTGGGATTTATTTGTCGCCAGTCCATGCTTCTCTTCCAGTGGCACATGGGATCCTGTCATCGTTGATGCCATATAAAATGAACAATCTTCCTGAAGTTTCCAGGGATCGATGCTTAGGTACTGCAGTGGAGGTTGCTATGGCAATCATTCAGGGTCCATCGCCTGAAATGTCAAGAGCGGTTGTCAAAAGGCCTGGTGGAAATGGCAGGATTATTGTCTGCGCTGGTGGGCCGAACACTTATGGCCCTGGTTCAGTTCCTCATTCTCCGAGTCATCCGAACTATCCACATTTGGAGAAAACTGCAATGAAATGGATGGAGACTCTAGGCCGTGAAGCTCAAAATCGCAATACGGTGGTTGATATACTTTGCGCTGGGACATGCCCTGTGCGTGTTCCCATTCTGCAACCTCTTGCAAAATCATCCGGGGGTGTTCTCATCCTCCATGATGACTTTGGGGAAGCCTTTGGTGTGAACTTGCAGAGGGCATCCACGAGGGCTGCAGGTTCCCATGGTTTGTTGGAAATCAGGTGTTCGGATAACATATTTGTTAGTCAAGTGATTGGCCCAGGCGAGGAGGCGCACACGGACAATCATGAGTCTTTTAAGTCTGATAATGCTGTTCCTATTCAGATGCTGAGTGTTGAAGAAACACAGTGTTTTGCTATATCAATGGAGACTCGTGGGGATATCAAGAGCGATTTTGTGTACTTCCAATTCGGGATTCAGTATTCAAACGTGTATCAAGCAGATATCTCAAGAGTAATTACTGTTAAGCTCCCTACAGTGGACAGTATTTCAGCTTATCTGGAGAGTGTTCAGAGTGAAGTGGCTGCTGTTCTAATCGGTAAAAGGACTCTTTTACGAGCCAAAAACTTCCGTGATGCTGTCGATATGCGAGTGACTCTTGATGAGAGGATTAAAGATGTTGCGAGTAAGTTTGGTTCCCAGGTTCCCAAGTCAAAGCATTATCGGTACCCTAAAGAGCTTTCGTCACTGCCTGAGCTCTTGTTTCATCTTAGAAGAGGCCCACTCTTGGGAAGTATACTTGGTCATGAAGATGAAAGGTCTGTTTTGCGGGCTTTATTCCTGAATGCATCCTTTGATCTGTCCCTTCGTATGCTTGCGCCGCGTTGTCTAATGCATCGTGAAGGCGGGACTTTTGAGGAACTACCAGCTTATGACCTTGCTATGCAGTCTGACACTGCAGTTGTTCTTGACCATGGAACTGATATCTTTATTTGGCTGGTATTGTGCATGTCTTTTGTGCTAATAGAAAATTGCATTTTGAGAACAACACTAATCATATGATGCCTCAATTGATTTCCTCTTGACTACGCAATGCTTACGGAAAACTGTAAACTTTTTTCACCATTTATGTTTGCTATTTCCTTCTTTCGCTTGATAAAACATATTTTTTGTCTTATATGTTATCCCATTTCCATGTCATTTTTCTTGATCATTACATGTGAACTGCAGTTTATTTTCTCTCTTTTTTATGGAAGACTAATATGACTGCTATCCTAAATGCTCGTAGTTCCATGGCACCTTTCAGTGTTCATACACTGATGAACAATTTGCTTAAACGTACCTGTATGCGGTATCATGTTGATTGTTGAACATAATGATAATTTACCACCGAACATCCTATTTATCCAATTTTTGATTACATTGTAATACTCATTTGTACTAACAACTTTACAGTTTTAACTGCTCATGTTTTGATGGACATTTGTGTTTGTACCTTCACTTTGATGACCACCTTATCTACATTCATGCTCAATTACGTTAGTAGGATGAAACTAGAACATATTGTAAAACTAGATATCATCCCTGCTTTCTATTATTAAAAGGTTGTTGAAATGTTGGAGATTTTACATATTGGTGCTTATTTTTCAAGTGGTTAGAAATTCTAAAGTTCATATCACGTATATAACTTTAAGTCTTATGGTGTCGTTCTGTTTCCGCTGAAATTTTGATTCTTTTTATTTGAATAGTTATGACAATAAAGTGACATGTGGGATGATCATGATGTATTTATGGTAGATTTGTGTCCTCAGTTTTGTAAATGAAATCACATTCTATACTTATGGTCAATACACCATATTCTGCTGATTCTTCTGTGTGTATTATCATGTTTGATGATTCCAAATTCTATAGGTGCACCTATAAATGTATTTTGTTGTGACATTTGTCAAGACTTTGTACTGACTTCTGAAGAACCTGATGCATACACGAGCCAGTTGAAGAATTTTCGCTGCCTAAATGACAGTGCATTAATTACTTTTACTGTGTCTCATTGTTTGAGAGCATCTCATGTTTATTGATTAACGTGTAGTTTACAAAGTACCAACTTCAAAGTGGCATCTCATCTGAAAATATGAATATTGCAGTATGGATTCAATTCAAGTTTGATTTCTGTGCTGAGGAGACTTTTTTTTTTTTGTTTTTTGTACTGCATATCTTTATAAACAACATTTTCTTTTTTAATTGATTTATATTGTTCTTCAGGGTGCCGAACTTGCTGCACAGGAAGGAATGAGTGCAGCAGCTTTGGCAGCGTGTAGGACTTTGGCTGAGGAGCTCAGTGAGCTTCGGTTTCCTGCTCCTAGAATTCTTGCTTTTAAGGTTTATAGAAACTTATATCAACTATTTTGCTATGGAATTTCCTTATATGCCTTTGGAGTGTAACTGTGAGTGCTTCTGTTGGTGTAACAGGAGGGGAGCTCTCAGGCTCGATATTTTGTTTCTCGCCTCATACCAGCGCATAAAGACCCTCCTTATGAGCAGGTAAATAATGCTGTCACACAATTTACACTAAAGTTGAGTTGCTACTTTCCCAATGTTAATTGTGGATGTGAAAATAGAAAATTGCTTAGTCACATAGATATAAAATATTGCGCGACTGCAGGAGGCAAGGTTTCCTCAGCTTCGAACTTTGACTACTGAACAGCGATTGAAGCTGAAAAGTAATTTTGTTCACTTTGATGATCCTAGCTTTTGTGAGTGGATGCGGAGTTTGAATGTTGTGCCACCCGAGCCAACTTGCTGAGGGATTTTTGTCGATTCAATTTTTACGTTGCATGTTCGTATGAAGGTGAGGCTCATGAATTTGTATCGATCGTGCGTGAATTCCAGCATCTGTGCCAAGTTTCCTTTCATTTTCTGTGGATTGTGGGATGCGTCTCCTCCTCCTCCTCCTCCTCCTCCTCGTTCTTCTTTTTTTTTTTTCTTTTTAAAGAATAAAAAAAAAAAGTATTTACTATTTACAGATTAAAAGCTAATGTTTTCTATTTGTTTTGTTCTGTGTAGGACAAAATTTTGGATTATATCGGGAAGTAACTGTAGGGGAATTAAACTAAGGAGTTATCTGTTCTGTTAATTATGTGAGTTATTGGTTAAAAAATTTAAAATGTTACACAATATATATTTTTATACATTTAAAATATATAGATATATATAATTAACATTTTCTTTGATATCGTAATTGAAAAAAAAAATAAAGTTTGTAAACTATGGTGCAAATATTAATCAAATATTAGATTACTAGGTAGCTGTATATATTTTTATACATTTAAAATATATAGATATATATAATTAACATTTTCTTTGATATCGTAATTGAAAAAAAAAAAAAAGTTTGTAAACTATGGTGCAAATATTAATCAAATATTAGATTACTAGGTAGCTGTAGATAAAAATAATTAACATTTTTCCTTTGTTACCTCGCCATTTGCATCCTTGAGCTTATTACCTATAAACCCTGTTTCCATTGGATTGCTATCATGGCCCTAAACTTGGTCCTTTGTCACCTCGCCTTTTGTATTCACGACCTTCTTACTCGCAAGCCCTATCTCCTTGGACTTGCTATCCTCGGTTTTCTTGGTAACCACCAAAGGTGCACCTTCTCCTAGGTTATCCAGTGCCCCGGTAGCTCTTTTACCCTCGACCTTTTTTGCTTGGTGGCCCTCGTGTTTCTCACAATTTGAGCTAGGGTGTCCAATAAATTTGCAAAAGTTGCAATATTGGGAGACAAACTTATATTCCACTTTTTGCTCGAACAAGGGTCCTTCTTCGGTGACGATGGGAACACTGAAAATTCTCTCTTTTGAAAGGTCTACCTCAACCAAAAATCGGGCGTAGTTGCACCTCGCCCTTTTGCGGTTAACTTGTCGGTTGTGATGGGCTTACCAACATAAGAGGCGATTTTGGCAAGGGCTTTGGCATTCCAACATTCTCCGAGAAGGAGTGGGAGATTGATCCATGCGGGCACAATTTTGATATCGTCTTCCCCAAATTGGAACCAACTCGGGAGAACCTTGAGGATAAGCCCCCTTCTATAAATTGTGTATGGACCTCCATGTAAGACCTTGTCCCTATTTTCCTCGGATTTAAACTTGAATACGATACAACCGTTGACGTTGGGTCATAGTCATATTCGACAGTCCAAGAGTTGCACAGTTTCAAAAGAGCCTCCTTGCCCTGGTGCCTTTGGGTTAAGTAGCCGACAAGTCAAAAGCCCTAAGTGCTAGTGCCATCCATGATGTCTTCTTCATCAAGGCAAGCTCTTCCATGTTCTGGTGGGATGTAGTCCAATTTGAAGTCAAGATAAGCTTTACAGTTATAGACAAAGAGAGCCGAAAAAGGCCTCTTGTGTGTAGCGGATTATTTTTGAGGTATTTTATCCAACACATTTCGGCCACCTTTGTTGGGTTGAGCTTTAAGCTTCTCTTGCATTGCTCCTTACCCCCCTAATTTTTCAGCAGCTAAAACCTCAAACTCCCGCAGCTAAATCGATCTCTAAACCATCATCACTAAGCACACGAGTCTTCATTTTATCTTTTAAGAGAATCCCCTTACCAATTGGAGCGGAGGCCTCCTGCTCGAGAAATGCTAGCTGCTGCCCGTCCATGACGATCAGAGGTCGACGGCCCATCGCAGTTCACCAGTCAAAAAAATCGACTATTTTTTATAGCTCTCGGCTGACCATCAAACCCCATTTCACTAACTAGTGTTTTGGATCTCAATTACAATACGAAACTCGATCTTAAATCAATCGGTTCATCCATCGGCTTCGAGCAATGGCAATGGTTTAGTTGTGCAACACCGCGATCCACTGACGTACAACAATGGCTTTATCCTCTCTCTCGTCATCCATTTGGCCAAGGTGGGGTGTCCGCGTAGCCGCAGGTCTTTAAGAAGGCAGCAGAAGCTGCGTTCCATGTCGGCGCCACAACTTTTGCAACAACATCAACGTGAACTTGGATAACCGAAATACTACAACCTTCAGTTCATATTGATTTCAATTTTTTTGGTATGTAATAAGTCTTTGTGTTTGAATGATTTTTCTTACATGTTTATTTGTAGTTTATATTCACATAAGGTTGATGATGATTCACTCTTTTAGAGAAAAAGTTTTCAGATGTTTGATTTAATTACGTTTGTGAAAAGAAAAAAAAAAAAATTAGATGTTTAGTTGATTTTTATTAATAATATATGTGATATATTAAAACAAAAAAATTTACATCACATGATCTAATAACATAAAACATATAATAATCTGCAAATACACTAGACGTAAATTTAAAGAAGTAAAAATCGTAAATTTACAATAAAAATGTAAGTGAAAATTTTGAAATCGTCATATTTCCTAAAATGGTTTCAAAAATTGTGATAGAAATGTTAATTAGTCAATTCTAAATCATCGCTTAAAATGGGAGAGATGGTCACTAAGATGCACAAAAAGATCAAATTGAGATGTAATTAATACTTGCTTTTATTAAACTTGCACGTTTTTTCTCGTATTCCTTTTGTGTAAATATATTTTTTAGGTGTTTTTCTTGGGGAAAGTTCTTTAAAAATCCCTAAGTCACTTTTTACTTTCCTTCTCAGTCCCCAACTTGTTTTTTTTCCTTTGAACTCCCTACCCCCATAATGATGTTCCACTTAACTCCCTAATATTAAGTTAAATAAAAAATAAAACAATTAATGACATCATCCTACTCAAATTTTTCATTATATATTATTTTATTAGTTTTTTTTACCTTTTTTCTTACACCTACCATACATAATAATATTATATTTTTACTCAATCATCTTCCCCCACCCAAAAAATCCTCCCCCGTTTCCTTCCATCCCGTCACCTTCTCCGGCAACTCCCTCTCCTTCTTTTATTTATTTATTTATTTTTTTTTTTTGCATGTTCGTCCTCCGGCGAAAAGAACTCCAGCGGCAACAAATCCGGTGAAAGAAGTATTTTTTCGTGAATTTTTTCCGGCGAAATTGAAAATTTTCCGTCAACATTTGTCCTTTTTTTCTGGCCAAAATTCGAAGTAGTAAGTAATATATGTATTATATGAGGATTTTGGTGTCCAAAAATCATGATTAATTCATATATTTTTGGTTAATTTGCTAAGGATTGAATTTTGAATAATGTTATTCTTATTTACCCTAAATCAATGAAAATTATCAAAATCTCTTTTTTTCTTGTTCATGTATACGAAATTGATGCTATTGTTAGGATATGTAATGTGTTATTCATCCTAAAACAAGAAAATAAGGTGGGAATGATCATTGTACCACTATTCTTGATTATTGTACCTCTGTTTGTATTTATATAGTACCACTTTGATACTGTTTTGTACCATACTTGCTGGGAAATTTTATTTTCTTATTTATCCTATTATTATTAGATACATAGAAGGGGCACAAAGTAATGTACTAGGGAGTTGTATGTACAAGAATGAATTGTTTGTGTTCTCTATGCACATTCGGATCAATGCTTGACGAAATGTACATTCTTATATCTAAGAGGTGGCAGAACGTTAATTTCGAATCCGTCGTTCTATGCTATATTGCGCCAAAGAAAAAAAGAGAGAGAGAGTTAGTTTGTGGAATGATGAGGATGTGAAAAACATGATTCTGTTACATGTTTCTTAGAAAGTAAATATTGTAGAGATACTTGCCATTCAAAGAAATAAAAGACCTGATGATGGAGTTCAATTCTTTTCCGTTGAACATGAGCAGGTAATGTTGCTTTCATAATATTAATGAATTTATTTTTGAAATATGGTAGTCTTATCATATCCTAGTTCGTTTATTTTTTAACTAGTTCCATTATTTATAAATCTTTGTATTATTTTGTCATGAACGCAGGAAAATCGTACCGTATGATTATTTCTCGGAGGGAGAAACATGAGTTGCTTTTGCAAGATAAATTGATCGATTCTTGGAGATTTTGCAACAAATGAGAGGGCAGATATTCAGTGGGGCCGACAAATTTCGAAAGAGTGTTAAAAACTACGCGATTGCAAATAGGCGGTCTTTTAAGTATCAAAAAAATGATAAACAGAAGGTCATTGTTTGTTGTAGCGATATGGACATGTGTGTGTGTACTCATTTTCATTCCAAAGAGTGGGTAGTAAATGAGACTTTATGAGTAACATTTTTGTATACAATATACTGGTATTTCTTACTGCAATATATGTGATAATTTTGTGAAGTTTTAATCGGTGTATTACATTTTCATTCCAAAAAGTTGGTACTATATGACTAATTTGTAGTACTAAATTAACCAAAAACAGGTACTACGCTACAGCATTACAAGTACCAGCATCACACCCATGTTTTTTATTCTTGTTTTTTGCTCCTTTTTTGAACACTATTTATTTAACGTGAGTGACTTTTAGTAATATAAAAACATTCATAAACTCATAGATACTAATTGAGGAGTGATTTTGAAGAATATAAAGTCAAGAAGTACAATTTAATTTTTATAAGCCACAGAGGTTAAGTATGACTTTATAAATCTCGAGCCAAAGGGAAATGAATTAATTTGTGCATAATTTTATGCGATCGCCTAGTGGTAGGATGGTAGAGGAGGTGGCCTTGAGGGCGCCAAAACCCGGGTTTGAGTCCCCTTTTGCGCGATCCTTCCACCATTTTTTTGGCACACATATTAAAATTTAATTAGTACCTGTTTATCCAAAATAATAATGCATCTTCTTCTACGTGGTACTTGTTTTTAAGCGAATTGTACCCACTTTTAATTAC